CAGCAATGGCCACAGGACTGGAAAACGTCACTTTTCATTCCAATCCCAAAGAAAGACAATGCAAAGAATGCTCAAACTACTGCACAATTGCACTCATCTCACACGTAGCAAAGTAAGGCTCAAAATGCTCCAAGCAAGGCTTCAACAGTATGTGAACTGAGAAATTCCAGATGTTCAAGCTGGTTTTATAAAAGGCAGAGGAACCAGAGATCAAATTGCCAACATCTGCTGGATCATCGAAAAAGCAAGAGAGTTCCAGAAAAACATCTACTTCAGCTTTATTGACTATGCCAAAGCCTTTGACTATGTGGATCACAACAAACTGGAAAATTTTAAAGAGATTGGAATACCAGACCACCTGGCCTGCCTCTTGAGAAATCTGTATGCAGGTCAAGGAGCAACAGTTAGAACTGGACATGGAATAACACACTGGCTCCAAATAGGAAAAGGAGTACGTCAAGGCTGTATATCATCACCCTGCTTATTTAACTTATATGCAGAGTTGCAATTGCATAGAAAGTAAAGGGCACACTTAAAGGAAATAAAATCCAAACCCAGTGTCTCTTGGGACTTCTATTTTCTGTGATCAGCCATACTTTTAATGCATTTTAACTCTGCTAAGGAAATCAGAAAACCATTTACATGATTAATGCTCTTTGTCTACATCATAAGAAACAGTGGGCTGGATGAACCACAAGCTTGAATCAAGATTGCCAGGAAAACTATCAATAACCTCAGATATGCAGATGACACCACCCTTATGGCAGAAAGTGAAGATGAACTAAAAAGCCTCTTGATGAAAGTGAAAGAGGAGAGTGAAAAAGTTGGCTTAAACCTCAACATTCAGAAAACTAAGATCATGGCATTTGGTCCCATCATTTCATGGCAGATAGATGGGGAAACAATGGAAAAAGTGACAGACTTTATTTTTTTGGTCTTCAAAATCACGGAAGATGGTGACTGCAGCCATGAAATTAAAAGATGCTTGCTCCTTGGAAGAAAAGTTATGACCAACCTAGACAGCATATTAAAAAGTAGAGACATTACTTTGCCAACAAAGGTCCATCTAGTCAGAGCTATGGTTTTTCCAGTAGTTATGTATGTATGTGAGAGTTGGACTATAAAGAAAGCTGAGTGGTTAAGAACTGATGCTTTTGAACTGTGGTGTTGAAGAAGGCTTTTGAGAGTCCCTTGTACTGCAAGGAGATCAAACCAGCCCATCCTAAAGAAAATCAGTACTGAATATTCATTGGAAGGACTGATGCTGAAGCTGAAACTCCAATACTTTGGCCACCTGATGAGAAGAACTGATTCATTGGAGAAGACCCTGATGCTGAGAAAGACTGAAGGAGGGAGGAGGAGGAGAGAACCAAGGATGGCATGACAGACTTGATGGACATGAATTTGAGTAAGCTCCAGGAGTTGGTGATGGACAGGGAAGCCTGGTATGCTGCAGTCCACGGGGTTGCAAAGAGTCGGACGTGACTGAGCAACTGAACTGAAGTTCACTGTGATGCTTTATTTTTCTCCAAAATTTAAAATGTTACTATATTACTCATAATGAAGAATAGTTTCTGTTTTTTGAATAGTTAGAAAAAGATCATAGACATTAGCTCAAAATAGAAAGTAAAGTTATATTTGAGTGAAAAATTAAATTAGAAAAATAAAAATTGCATAAACTAGGCATAGGTGACCAATGTAAAATGGTTGTATAATAAGTCACTCCTAATGGAATATTTTTGTTTCATAATATGTCTTCTCAGTTCATGTTAGGCTCAGAAATCTTAACGTGCTATCCAAGTTGGGAAAGATAGTATAAATATTATTAGCTGAATAAAAACCGTATGAATGAAGAGTAGAGCATCTGGTACAGTCTTAAGTAATTTAAATGGTTCAGAAGTAGAGTCAGTCTAAGAAGATCATTTTCAAAACCACTTCTGACACATTTTTCCGTTAAAATATGTATTTTGGTCTTGACATGATTCTTACATCCCAAATAAAATTAAGAGTTGGCTTATGTGGTTTTTGACCAGGACTCTGTTTCCATTCCTCTACTAGTATCTCAGTTTTACCCCACTGGCCTGGGATTTAATTTTACCCTCCTTGCAAGTTACTAACTTACCCTGTTACTGCTTCATGGATGCTGAAAGCAGACGTGAGACTCTTGGGTGGAGACAAAGAGTTTGACTATGAGGGCGCAGCAAGCAGCGGGGACATCAGCCTGTTGACACCCGTTAATCTTGCCTCAGACTCCACAGGGTTGATGTGGTAGGACCCAGATGGATGTTACACACACAGTAAGTTTGCACAGCTAAGGAACACCAGAGTTAATGAGTCCATTGCTATTATTTTGTTTTTGGCTAACAATCAGCTAGCTAACTTGCTCTCTGTGCAAGGCTGAGAAATTACCACATTTCTCAAGGCTGCATGCTGCAAACACAACCCTGAGCAATAGCTCAGGAAAAGAAGCATTAGGATCTCGAGTTCCGACACACCGAGAAAAATATAAAGGAGCCTAGTGACTCAGGGAGGACCCTCCCACCACCACCTGGTGGATTTTCATCCTCATACTGGATTCCACTACTGCTATCAATATCCATGAAGGGTGGATATCTCTCCTGACAGCTACCTGGAAAAGCCTTGAGCTTCCCTTTGGTTGGACCATATACAAATTAATCACTGGGGCCAGAGGACTGTCCTTGACTTAGCCCTAGATTTGCACCCATTCCTGAACTAATCTCTATGTTAAGGGGGAAGATTACTCTTATTAACTAGATCATCTATGCTGGCTGGGGTGGGAGGATCAATTTTACCCAACTTAATAGCTATCAATGGGGAAGAGGCAAGATGTTAGGAGGCAGCCATTACCTATTTTACATGTTCTCTAAATGGTATAATTCAAGAATTCTGCTCTATTTCAGGTTTTGAAAGTCAAATGAAGAGGAGAGAAAGAAAAAAAAAATTAGAACTCATTGGCCTTCTTTTCTATGCTTTTATTCTGGGATATCTTATCTATTTTTTCATTGTACTCATAATAATTGAGCACCAATTATGTGTCAGGAACTGTATTAGACTTGGGGATACAATTCAGAAATGACTCCTAATCTCACAGGTTAATAATCCAGTAAAGGATTCATTTTAAGAGACCGTTAGGATGAGATGGAAAAATACAGTGATAGTGGCACATAGAGGGGGCCGCTCACCTGGACACTGAGCGGGAGGGTTAGGAAAAGACTCCTGGAGAATATGATATCTAATGTGAAGCCGGAGGATGAACAGAAATTATCAGGTGATCTGTGTGTGGGTGAGGACTAGATCGCTTGGAAGAATGCCTTAGGAGATGGAAAAACAGAGCTAGCTAGAGAAACTGAATGTCATCCTGTGTGTCTGAATCATAAAACTCAAGGTGAGAGGAGAGGTAGGACAACTGAGGAGTGGGAGGCAGGAAGTGTTATCTATGGAAAGGAAACTTGGCTTTTCTAAGAAACCCTGAAGACTTTAAACAGAGGGAAAACAAGGTAGATGTTGCATTGCAGAAATTTCACACTGGCTATATAGAGTGAAAAATGAATTGAGGAGGAAGCAAGGCCACGACAGAGAGACTAGTTAGAGGATTGTGGAAATCCAGCACAGAGACAGAAGTAATTATATCAGTGGAAATGGGATGAAGGCACAGATTTGCAATCTATTTATTAGTAGAAGTTAGATCTGTAGGTCTTAATGAGTAATTGGATGCATGAGATGAGAATAAGAAAATACTTAAGGCCTGGAGATAGGATAGCAATGATAAGAACAGATATTTTTAATTCAAATAGGCAAAGGTTTAAAGCCTAACTCTACATGTAGCTTCTAGGGCTGAGCTAATTACCAGCAAAAAGGAGACATTGATAACTACCTAGCAAGGCTGCTTTGAGGATAAACATGCAAAGAAATAAAATACTATATGTCAAGTTTCTGACACAGAATAAATCTTTTAATAAATTATAGCAACACGTCAATTCTTATTTCTCTGTCTGAAAGAACTGGTTGGATGGAAACACTATTCATTCAATGCAGTCAGGAGTGTGCTGGCTGCAAGTAACAATAAACTGGACCCACAGCAGTTTTTAAAAGTATGGGTTTTCCTGCACAATAAGAGGACTGGAGGTGGATAGTTATTGGCAGTAACTTGGTCAGCAGTGCAATCTTTATTGTTACCCTTGGCTTTACCTCATGGTCACAATACAGCTGCCCCAGTTCCAGCCTCCAGCATCATATTTACTTTTTAAGTCAGGGTTGAAAGGGCCATGCATAAGAGAAAGGTTATGGGTTAGTTAATTATCCTGAGATGGGGGACATAGGAGAAGACAGAAATTTGAGAATAAATAACAAACTTGATTTTGAATATATTGAGTTTTAGTTTTCTGTGATATATTCTGAGATATATTCTGTGAACATATCTCCAGAAAAAAGTTTAATAGGCAGCTGGATACACAGACCTGGAGTTAAGGAAAGATATCTGGGATTGAGGGGGGAGGTTAAATTCTGCAGGGTGAATGAGAGAACCCATAGGAATGGGATACAGTGAGGAAACACAAGGACCAGGACATGGCCCTGGCACAGAGCACCAGCATTTATTGGGTGAGTAGGAGCCAAGAAGTGCCCAAAGTGAGACAGCAGTGTTTAGGGACGCAAGAGCAGAGCCAAGAGCATGCTGTGTCCTGGAAGCCTAAAAGAGAAAACAGTTTAGGAGGACATGGTCAGTAAAAGCAAGGGCTACATAAAAGCAAGAAGGTAATAAGTAACCTTGTTGAGAGTTTTTCCTTTTGTGGGGACAGAAGCTAGGCTGGAGTGGGTGAGGAGTGGAAGAGACAGGAGGAAACAGAAAGAACAAATGTAAAGAAAGTTCTTTTCTTTCTCTTTTGTTCTTAGAGTTCCTATTTTAGGATGTCAGTACTTGCACAATTCTTTTTTTTTTTAAAGAAAGATTTTTGGTCAAGTCAATTTACCTTTCCAAAGAGAAGCAAACTTGGAATGAGAGTCTGGTCTTCATGACTTTCAGAGGGTCTCTTCCGACGCCAATGGTTTCTGATTACATGGTCTTTCTTACTCCAGTGATGAGACACAAATAAAATCATTCGGCATGTTTAGGTTCTGGGAGCAGAGCTGTGTAAATGTTCATTGTATGACGCTGCCGACTAATGAAAAAGGCAGAGATTGGAAGTCAGTGGTCTGGTGGCACATGTAATGCTAACTTTCCCAGGCTCTCCTTTATTTAGTGTGTTTTTATATGGAATGTCATGGAAAATAAAAGTATTATGGGAAAATAAAAACGTTCCATTTGGACAGTTTTTGATAGGTCATATTCAGACTCAAAACATTAAACTATTTTGTGCCACATATAAAATCAACTTTATATTGGACCACCCAGACTCAGAACTCTTGATGGAAGACTATATAAAAATAAGAAACTTGTATGCAGTGACATTGTATGCAGTTGGCTGACTATTCAGGTTTAAGAAGTTTCCTTCCTGTTGAGGAAGGAAGAAAATGAAACACTATTTAAATTTAAAGCAAATCATGCAGTAGAGGTAGTTATAAGAATGTAGCTTCTGGGGCGAATCCTCTCTCCGTCTCTCCTTCACCTTCTGAACTATGTAAGCACCAGTTCGGAAAAGTACATTTCGGAGTACCAGGCTTTTGTTTTCATTTTTTTTAAATAAATATTTTTGCTTTCTTTTATTTCCTGCAGATTAGTTCTGCAGGCTGCAAACAACAAAGCTAAGAAGAGCAATAATTTTTTAAAACTCCCTTTTGTCTGTTTCCATCATTACGGTGGCAATTCTCAAAACATTTGTTTGAGAGAATCTAATCATCTATTAGTTCAGCCCTTAGAGCTCATATTTTAGGATGTCCCTTGTGGCCTGGAGATTAAAACCTTCATGCGTCCTCTACTATTTACGGAATTATTCAATGTTAACTTTTCCTCTCATTCTTTCACTTGAGGGCTGGGGTTTAATCAGTTAGAGCTAGAGACCTTTTGCTCCCGTCGCCCCCTCCCCGCCATCTCGCCCCGAAATGGGGACGTTATCTCGAGTGTGAGGCTCTTCCCGTTCCCTGAAGGTGGGCTGAGCAAAGGAGCGTGACGCAAGAGTGGGCTGTGTCCTCGATGCCTCTAGCGCCCCTGCCGCCCGGGGACCGATCCCATTAGCGGCGCAAATTCCAGGCGGCGGCCGGGCAGCGCAGCGGCGGAGGCTCTGTGCGCCCCGGGGGCTGCCTCCTCGGCGGGAGCCCGAAGCTGAGCGCAGGGACTCAGCCGCACCCAGGCTCCGTCCGTCTTTCCAAGCTCTCCATGCTACCCGCCTGAAAGAAGAAAATGGGCACGGGGGATTTTATCTGCATTTCCATGAGCGGAGGGGCGCCCTGGGGGTTCCGATTGCAAGGTGGCAAGGAGCAGCAGCAGCCTTTACAAGTAGCCAAGGTAGGATCACCGCAGATGGGTCATCACATCCCGTCCTGGGCTGGGAAAGACGGAGTAAAAGCCACTTGTTGATGGTTTATCCAAGCTCCGATTCAGAGGTCTCTATGCTAGTTTGATTTCGATGCTGACACTGAATTCTTCTTGGATGTGGGTGGTTTTTTTTTTTTTTTTTCCCCCATCAGAAAAACTTTGGAGAGTAACATATAGCACGTATGTAATTAATCAGTCATTAATGGGGTGGGGGAAAGAGTGCTATATATTTTATCAGATGAAGAAAAGCCTAGTTAATCAGCTGCTTCTCTGGCAACCAGCAAGACACTTGGGAACGTTTCTTCTAGGCAGTCTTAGAATCGACAGTTGTTATTGTCTCACGTCCCTTTCCTTGGCTCTGGCTGAGGAGAAACGCTCAGCTCAGTATAACCAATTGGCTTGGCTCTTTGGGGACTCTTATAAAAGTATTGTTAACGACATTTATCATACAGCATCCATGAGAAGACCAGCTTGGGGCAATAATTTTTTTAAATATGAAGATCTCATAAATTTATTTGAAAGAATATTCTTTTAAGGATTTGGCTAATAAATGCAAAAATCTAAGTACCCTGGTCCATCATGTGCATTCATCTTGTCAAGTGCTCAAAATAAAATTCAGAGACACTGGAAATATATTGTAAATAACTTAGACGTTAACTTTGAAATGCATCTAATAATGATTTAAAATATTTTAGGTGTTTTTATTTCCATTAGATCGCTTTGTTTCTTAGCTCAGTATGCTTACCGGTTTGCTTGAGGGGATCTGGTATTGTCTAATTGTGATTCAGTTAAGACCAATTTTAAAATACATGAGAAAAAGCAGACTTTTACCTAATTTTAATACTAAATTGAAGTACTATAGGAAAGAATATATTTGATTAAATGTATATTTTATACTTACATTAAAAATGGATCTAGATCCTCATGAAATATATGGACCATGGGCCTTTGTAGTTATTCTTCTTTCCCTTTGGCTTTCTTTCTTTCTTTCTTTCTTTTTTTAATTTATGTTCACTGTGAAGAAAGGAGTTTCTTTGAAATTTTTTGCACCCAGGCTTCCTTGGAAAATCCTTTCAAAATGTGATGGTGGAATCCTGCCACCTAGTGAAAATTTCAAACATCAAGGATGAAGCATAAAACGGCAGATGAAAAGCAGACATTTTTAGAACTGAAAAGTTTCTCAGAGATCCCCAGTTCAGCCTGCTAATTTTAGATAAGGAAAGAACCTTCAGAGGCTAAGTAACCTGCCTTGGGTCTTTGGTCTTAGGTTTGGAACTGGCAGTGATTAAAAGGTACAAAGGTTGTTGGTTTCGTTGTTTTTCTTTAGGAGTCAATGGTAGGCAACATCAAACAAAATATTAATGCCTAATTCAGCATATGTAGAATTCATAAGCCTGAAGTGGATTTGTCCGGAGTCTAGAATAGCAGTTGGCTGGCTCCTGTCACTGAGATTTGGGTTCTAATTCCAGCTCTGATCTAACATGCAGCCGGTCCTGAGACAGATCACTCTTCCTGACTCATTTGGTGTGTGTGTGTGTGTGTGTGTGTGTAGAAGAAGAAAGAGACAAAGATTTTGAGTGGGTGGGAAAGAAGAGAAGTAAGTTGGAAACTGGACTCTACCATTAGTGAGGTTCTGTTTGCTTGAATTTTCTATAGCCCGACTAGTGTACAATTTTAGAATCACTTGCCTACCAGTTAAAATGTGGAGACAGAAGTGGCTAGAAGCTGTGATTCTTGGTTGCTCTTTCATAGCCAAACCTGCAAAATAGAATGGATTTTCCTCAGTTCTTGATGTGTCTATTTCAAAGTGGCACCACTGAGTTTTTTCAGTTCTTTTTTGAAGAACTGAAGCAAATCGCTCATGAAGGGTGCTTTGGAGGTGTTTCTCTGCTGATAGCTCTCTCTTATCAGGATTCAGAGAGGCTGTCAGTTTGAATAAGGGTCAAAAAATTCATTCCTGCTCTCCCCAAAATCATCTTTCCTCAAATATCTAGGAAATATATTTTTAGTTTTAAAAAGATCATTATATGAAAGCATCAGGATGCTTGCTTTAATTTTTTTAGTTTGTGTTACTGTAAAGTTACTGATTTAAAATATTATGAAAGCACCTGGATGTTTGCCTTAACTGTTGTGTGTGTGTGTAAAAGAGAGAGATAATTTATAATTTTTTCCCACATGTAAAAAGTGACTAGAGAGCCTTCTAAAGAAGATATAATTTTTAAATTACTATAGCAATGCCCACTTTTCTTGGTCTGGTTTTATACTTAATTAAAACTTATTATATTTAATTTATTACTAGCATTATTTGTCCCAGAAAAGCCTCGGAACAAAAGTGCTTGTCTCTATGTTATCAAGGCCATGGCCTCAGTGGGATCAGTTTTTCATTCAAAACATGAAGTCAACTTAATTCCAGTAAAGGTTTCTCTCTCATTGAGATCAAGGTAATGTGTATGTTGCTTGATTTTCTCCTTTTCCAAGGAATGGTGAAAACTTATTAGAATCAAGTTACCTCCAAGTAGGAGGATGTGGAGGAAGGGATAGAAAGGCTAAGGAAGGGATGATTGCTGGCAACCAAAATGCTCAGTTTTGAAGAACATGCAAAGGAATAATTTGGGAATTGAAGAGAATATTTCAAAGAAAAGAAAATTTCAGACAGTGCTTAAATCATGCCTTCTAAAATGGGTATGCCACGAAGAAGCTCTATAGATAACAACAAATTTTTGGTTCATTGTAAATACCTAGTATTTAGAATTTCAATAATTCTATATAGAATGAAAATTTAGCAAGCTGAAATAGCAAAAGAAAAATGAATCTAATATTATTAAGAATGATCAGGAATTTAATAGCTTTATAATTCCCAGTAAATATCCTCCTAGTGACATGTTTAGTCATTTTTGAAAGATATTCAAATGTTTTTAGTATTTGGCTGGCTGGCTGAACTGTAGGTGAACCCCAACTTTCAAAGATCACTATGGAAATATTAATGATAAAATTTTTCATTGATATTGAAACTCAAGGCCGTAAAACTCTGTTTTGTTTTCAACATAAATTAAATTTCTAAAAGGCCCAAAGAATCAGTAACATTGTCCAGGTTTTTAAATGTGTATATATCTTTTAATTTATGTTCTAAATACATGTGATAGGAAGCAAACATTTCTAATACACTGTAGTAAGACAGTACTCTTGCAAGGTATATTTCTAAGAGATCATCTACAGAAACAAATTTATACAGCCATACTTGTGGTATAACACCCCACTGTGTGTGCAGATGTCCTTATAAAAGTCTGTTAGCATTTTTACTTTACAAAGCTCTATTTTTTGGAACATGTACTTACATGGCATGTTGCTGGACATACTCTTGGAAAATCACTTCAGAATATTGCCACATAAAGAAACAGGGAGAAGTTTTTGTTTTGCAAACAAATCTTATGAACCATTTAGAAGTAACTTACATTTTGAAAATAAAGAACAAAAATTATTTAGACTTTATTCTTCATGAGTTTTAATGTTTAGAAATGGAAGCTTTCTTTAAAAGTACAGAACACTATGGTACTTATTAAAATGAATTTTAACTCAGAGTTTCAAATAACTATTAAAATTTAGATGACAAATTACAATCATCCATTTTATGAGGTTGAGTTGGAGTTAATGATTCTTATCTATTATTGTATAATCTCTTTTTAAATGTCTGAATATAAAGTATTTAGGCAAAGCACATTCAAATACATAATTCATATCCCTTAGTGCCATCAGTGAGATATCAAAATGCTTCAAATAGAATAAATTCAAGAAACACACTGATTTCTAAAGGGAAAAATAGGAAATATTTGATGTTTTAATATGTACCTTTTGGGATAAATCCTCCTTACTACATATGGAAAGCTAAGGATATCTTTATTAGTAAATATGACTGATCACTGAATTTTTACTGATGTTTTGAGCTTTCAAGAAATTTTAAAAACATCTATACTTATAGAAATCCATGCACTCTAGCTACATCTATTAAGCAGATGTTACATAAAATTTTTATTTTGGAATTGCATGTTTTAAGACAGATGACTGTTGAAAGACAATGAGATAAAATAATGACCGTGACTGTGTGTGAACTTTGCCATTATCTAGACAGAGTCCGCATGGAGCTCACATTTATCCTGTACCAGGAACTGTTCCAGGTGCATCCCTGATAGGATGTCTTCTTTGTCATTGCAGTTGGAGGCCTGCCTAGTGCCTGTATGAACAGTGGGATGGGGGTAGGGAGAGGCAGGTAGGGAAGTAAAACTGGAGAAAGATGTAGCGGGGGGTGGGGGAGGGAAAAGGAGAGAGAAGAAGAGACAGAGATAGAGCGAGAATGAATGGACAAGTAGGAAGTTTCCTTCCTCTGGATGAACTCTTCCATTTCCTCTGGATGAATGACTGTCACAGAAAGGTGTTGGTGGGACTTGAGCCGTCTTGCTTGGCCTGCCTAGAAAGGCCAAACTCTTAGCCAGGGCCTGCAGGAGCAGGCTGGCATCCTGAGGAGTTACTTGGGCCTTGGAAGGGACAGAGAAGTGTTGGGCAGGAGCCCTGTTTCTTCTGTTAGGGAACTGTGCAGGGTGAAACCCTCCCAGCTCCTAGAAGAAACCAAAGTGTCCCAGCATTTGGACACCAGCTACAGAAAGGACAGTGATGGCCACGCGACATTAACCAAAGAAGTACAAAAACCAACAAAGAGAAATGCTACACTGTTTACTTGTGAATAAACAGATCTACCTTCCCCCTCCTCTTCAGCCTTCCTTCCTGCCTTCAACCTGGGAGGGGTGGGAGGGAAGCTAGTAAAGAGCAGACAACACTCTCTGCCTCTTGCCAAGCCCTGGAGCCACGAGCCAGCTACCGTGCTTAGGGAGAGAGCTTAGAGATAGATGTTAGATCAAAGTTGTATTTGGACTAGACTGTTTTAATAACCAAATGCCACCAAAAAGGCATGGGATCTGACCAAAGAATTATTAAGGGAAGGATTTGGTTTTGTGGTAGTTGAAAACAGTTGCTGGAAGAAATAAAATAGTTTCATGTTTATAACCAAATGAAAGACACTCCTCAAAAACATTGATTCCGTAACTCAGGTTCATATCATCAATCACACATACTTGACATATGTTAGCTTGGAAACTTATCACCAATTGGGACTTCCCTGGCAGTCCAGTTGTTAAAGAACAGTCTATCATTTAGTAATGCTGAAAATTGCAGTGACTTCAACCTTGTGGCTCAGACGGTAAAGCGTCTGCCTACAATGCGGGAGACCCAGGTTCAATCCCTGGGTCGGGAAGACCCTCTGGAGAAGGAAATGGCAACCCACTGCGGTACTCTTGCCTGGAAAATCCCATGGACGGAGGAGCCCGGTAGGCTACAGTCCATGGGGTTGCAAAGAGTCGGACACGACTGAACAACTTCACTTCACTTCAATACAGAATTGTATCAAATAGAATGTCACCAATCTAAGATTTGATCTTTAAAAACATTTGTAATGATTTCTTCTTTTATTGGGCCTGAGGACGAGGATTACAGGAAATGCATCTTTGAGCTTACGTGCAACGAGAGACGAGACTGGAAAGGGAACTGGTTTACTTGTAAATAAACCTGAAAAATCTATGGCCTCCAATGTTTTTGTGTCTGTTCTAACAGATTCATGAAGAAACCAAATGCCATGAGGTTTTTGTAAAAGGAAATGGAGAATGCATGCGTCATCTTCGTTAAACAATCTGAAAGAGTAAACAACTTCATGAAGTTAAAAGCTCATCTGAGAAACAGAAATAACGTCAGATCTTTGGGGGGATAATTCATTGTTTGACCACCTCAGTGAGAACATATTTATAGTATTGAATTGCCTTAGGCACTTTATTTTCCTGAGTTATTTACCATTCTTTTCTTATTATTAAAAAGCAGAGATGGCCACATTGTCAACAAACTGTGTCTTCAAAGTCTTTGTGAACTCCATTGGCATGTGGCAGATCATCAGCGATAGTAGATGTAGTTTGGTGTTATGATGGTCTGGCTGTAGTTATCCTTAACTGGTATATAAATATGGTGTGTTTCAGATAAAGTACTAAAAAATGTGGTGGATTTAC